CCCAGCGGTGCGCCGTCCGGCTCCGCGAGTACCGGCTGGGCGCGCCGGTGCGGGAGTACTGCGGGGAGCTCCTGCGCCTCTACGGGGACCGCAGGAAATTCCTCCTCCTGGGTGAGTCCGGGCTCCCAGCGCAGCCACCCCGTGTCACCCTCGGAATGTGCAGGTGCTCCGAGGGGTGTTGGGGGCTTGGATGCTTGTGGGGGGATGCCCACCCCGGAGGGTCACCCCGAGGTGCCAATGCCCATGGCAGGAATGAGGCCCTTCATCCCCGACCAAGACATCGGGTACTTCGAGACGTTCCTGGAGAGCATCGGGATCCGGGAGGGCGGGATCCTCACCGACAGCTTCGGCCGCATCAAGCGCAGCATGAGCAACACGTCGGCCTCGGCCGTGCGCAGCTACGACAGCTGCTCCCTGCGCTCCGAGGCCGAGTCCTTCAACCGCATCATCACCGACATCACCCACGACATCGAGGCGCTGGCGCGGGATGAGGAGGAGGAGGACCAGGAAGAGGACAACTACCTGTGAGGGTTGTGCTGGCACCCCGCCACCCCCTCCCTGTTGCCTGCTGTGGTGCTGCACCCCCCAAGCCCAGAGCTGCCAGGTGCCCAGCTCTGCCCTGGGGATGTTGTCCCCCTCTTTGTCACCGCTGGAGGAGACAGGAGCTCTGTGCTGTCCTGGCAGCCCTCAGCAGTGCTGATGGCATCGCAGGGCAGCCGGGGGGAGCCCCCCGGCCTGCAATGCCATGTGCTGTAATTTCTGCAGATCACAATTAAAGGCCAGGGCTGGGAGAGGAGCAGGTTCTTCCCTGGGGCCATGCTGGGGAAGGGGGCAAGCTGCTGCAGCGGGGGATAAGCCAGGGCTGGGGAGCTGCTCACAGGTGCCACTGCCCAGCTGGACACCCTGAAACCCCCAGTGCCACACACAAGTCACTCTCAGAGTCGGGGAACTCCCAGCCATGCCAGACTGATCCCAGGGGATGCTCCTGGCAACGTGGAGGCCAGTGAGGGTGTGCTGGTATGGGGGGCTGGTGGCCACGGCTGGCACCCAGGTAGCTGTGGGGCCACGGGTGTTGCACAAAGGGAAGTTCCTGCCCCAGGACCCAGATCCCTCTGGTGGAGCCCAGCAGCCCTCTGGAGCCAAGGGATAGGGGTCCTGCTCCTCACTGGCCAATGATCAATAGCCCATGGCCAGTGTTCCATGGCTGGTGTCCCTTGGCCACAGTTCCTTGGAAGGGGCTGCTGGTGGGCTACCGGGGGGTCCTGTCCGGTGTGTGATCGGGGTCCTGACTCCCATCCCGCTTTGGGCCTCCCAGAGGTATCGGCCGCGCCAGCCCCATCAGGCAGCACCAGCAGAGTCAGGGGGGCCC